GCAGAGGGCGGGTGCAATGCTAGTTTACTATTGGCTATTGCAAATTGAAATAGCCAATAGGAATCTAGCAATGCATTCCTATGGGCAAAAAAAAAAAAAGCAGGTAACCAGGGACACTGATCTCTCTGCAAGTGATCGGAGCCAGCCGTAAGATCACGGCTGGCTCTGCCCAGCTGTCAGAAGCAGTCTGTCGGCCGGCCGCTCGGCCAGCTTCAGCTTTCAGCGTGGCTCAGCCGAGCCGAGGCATATGCCTTCGGTTCGACTGAGCCGCTCGGCCGACTTCGGAAGCTGTACGGGCTATAGTGAATAGCCCGTACAGCAGCCCTTCGGTTCTACTGAACCGAAGGGATCCTGGGGCCGAAGCTAGCCGAAGGATCGGCTGAAGCTACGGCTAGATCCTTCGGCTGCTTTGTGAATAGACCCCTATGTTTCACCCTGCCTATGATATTGATTATCATTAGCACCTGCTTGGCATAATTGGTTAATCATTACACCTGACTCTAATCCTACAAAAGTAGGCAAGTGTAAGAACTGATGTTGGTTTGAAGCCAAACGTTAGTCACACCAAATATTGATTTGATTCAGATTTTTCTTCTGTTATCTCACTTGAAAATAAACAATAAAAGTATATACTTTTAAAAACATTCCTACATTGCAGTATGTTTCACACCTGCCTAAAACGTTTGCACCAGTGGTGTAACAACCGGGGGGGCGGGCCCCAGGCGAAAGGTGAAGGGGGGGCGCCGGCCGAAAATGGCACTTTCGGCTAAATGCCGAAAGTGACATTTTCCTGACGTTTTGTCGGCGCGGCCGGGATTCCTTTCATCCCCGCTGGGACACAGAGCAGTGCCCAGCAGGGATGAAAGGAATCAGAGAGAAAATGACAGCCGGCCGAGCGCTGCGGGACGAGCGCTGTGAGCGGCCGGTGTCTTTCCTCCCACACCGCTCGGCCGCCTATCACAGTGCAGCAGAGCGGTGTGGGGGCGGAGACAGCCAGCGCTGTCACAGGAGGCTGGGCTCTCCTCTTGCAGCCTCCTATGACAGTGTGTGTCAGAGAGGAGAACGGGTACAAGCACTCAGCGATCAGTGATCGCTGAGTGTTTGTACATAATTGAGGACCTGGTATGTATACTATATCCTCAATTATGAATGAATGGGAGTGATCTACATCTCCTCCTGTTCATTCATAATTGTAGTTATAGTAAACATACCATGTTATCAATGAACAGGAACACTCATAAAGGATTCCTGTTCATTGATAACAGGGGACACAGAAAAAGAGATTGAGGACTCTGTGTCCTCAATCTCTTTTTCTATTTTTAAAGGGAAATATCAGGGGTCTGTTTAGACCCCCAATATTTCCCCGAAGCCCCTAAAAGTAAAGTAAAAAATAAAAATATTTAATAAAAAATTAATTAATAAATAAAAATTAATTTTAAAAAATGAAAAAGTTTCTAAAAAAATAAAATATTACAATTTGAACAATTAAAATAAAAACGTGTGTGTGGGGGGGAGGTGCAGGGTACAGTTCCAGTGGTTGTTTATATAATGGGAGGGGGGGCGAAAAAAAATTTCTGCCCCGGGCGCCCAGAACTCTGGTTACGTCACTGGTTTGCACAGTACTGTTTTTATATATACAGTATATATAATTCAAACACTCTGATCTGTTTGAAAAAGAAAGGTACATAAAAACACCTTTAATCTTTAAGTGCCTTGTAAAGACAATGTCTGGGCTTATGTGTGTTGGTGCACCTTCAAGGTTAGGAAGAAGGGGCTGCCTCCAGATGCAGATGGGCCTGTTCTCTGCACACATTGCTATATATGTGCTATAATTGGGAAACACATTTCAGTGGGTATGTAAATTATTACTAAAAAGCTGCATGTTGTGTGGAGGACTGCTGCAAAGTATAACATCTCCTGTCTCCTGCACACAATGCCCAGCTTCTGGGCACTGAGAAAAGGGAGCGATGCGACTCGAGCAGTACATCGATCCGGTCACATCACTGCCCTCAGCTATAGGTCCTCACTATTTCCCATTCACAAAATGCCTTGGGTTTTTTTTTTGATGAATACAAGACATTCTGTCATTGAAGGAGGAGAGATGATATCACATCTCCATCCCTCCTCTCATCCCCCAATCGCAGAATGCCTTGTATTATTTGAAAAAATACAAGGCATTTTGTGAATGGGCATTAGTGAGGAGAGGTGGGTGATGGATGCAGAGTGCTGTACTGCTATAGTTGCATCTCTCACTCTCCTCAGTGCCCAGAAGGTGGGAGTTGTGTGCAGGAGACAACATGCTTCAAGGTAAGATTTTTACACTTTGCAGCAGCCTTCTGCACACAAGACCCCATCTTTTAATGATAATTTACACACTTAATGGGAGATGTGCCTTAACGCAGCAGTGCGGCTTTCATGTGTATTTGCAATTGTATGCAACAAAACCTCTGTTTTTAACATGAGTAGTTGTAACAGTTTTTTATGTTGGCTAGCTTGAAAGCATTTTGGAGACCCATTTTGTGCTATTAAACCATTGATACAAATACAGTATAATTGGAGTTCTTGCACAAAGATTTTACCTACTGTTAAAAAAAAAATTTCAAAGATTATTATTTGGCTCACTTTTCAGTCAAATGATTGAGTATTCATTATTCATTTGCTAATTTTTTTGTCAAATAAGTGAATATTTTTTTGAGCCCTCCAAGTTATAATTCTTAGTGCTCTTTTTACTAAAATTGTACTTTTAACTTAAGTTGAAATATATTTGTTTCATTTTAATGTTCTAGATTATGAACTAAATTAATTTGCTGTATCTATGTTTCAAATAAAGTGCCTTTATGATTAGTATTGTAAATGTAGTGACCAATTGGATATTCAGTACTTCATGGATATGTATAAAACTGAGAGGGTTAATCACACAGCTGCCAAAGGCAGCTGTGTGAATAACCGACCCGAAGAGAAGTGAGCTGAACGCTGTTTGGCTATTCACTTCAGGTTTGTACGGCTGATTGCAGCCATACACCGTCTGAAATCATCCGTACATCGGCTTGCCGCAGCTGGTTTTGGGTCGAGCATGTGTGCTGAGCATGTTCGGCCGACCCGAAGTGCAGAAGGAGTTCGACTCAGCCGATCCAACATATGGATCGGCTGAGCCGAACATCCGGCAGGCTACTCCCTGCTGTTCGGCCTATTCTCATAGATGCCGAACAGCAGTGAGTAAATAACCAAATGCCGCTGGGCGGCATTCGGCTTGGCTATTGTGCTCGGTACCTCTGTGGTACCGAGCAGAATAGAAAACCAGTTAAAAAAGTAGAAAGAATAGAAAACGATTGGGCGGAGCTAGCAGTGACAGCTAGCTCCGCCCAATTGTTTTCTATTGGCCGGGATCAGCTGGCATTACAGTGAGAGCTTAGCAGGGCTGGCGGTGATTTCAAAGCCGGCTCCACTAAGCTCTCATTGTAATGACAGATCAGCGTCCCCTGGTTACAAGGTGTTCTGTCATTACGATGAGAGCTTAGCCGAGCCGGCTTTGAGATCACCGCTGGCTCCGCTAAGCTCTCATGACAATTCAGCGTCCCCTGGTCATTAGGTAACCAGGGGACGCTGAACTGTCATTACACACTGAGAACCCGGCGGAGCCGCCGTGATATCACGGCAGAGCCACAGTGATATCACGGCGGCTCTGCCAAGTTCTCATTGTAATGACAGATCAGCATCCCCTGGTTACCTGGTAACCAGGGGACGCTGATCTGTCAAGGCAAGTGGCCGGAGCCAGCCGTGAGATGACGACTGGCTCCGCCCAGCTGTCGGTAGCAGGCTTTCAGCATATGCCTTCGGCTCGACCAACTTTGGGAGCTGTACGGGCTATAGTGAATAGCTGTACAGCAGCCCTTCGGTTCTACTGAACCAAAGGGCTCCAATAAACGAAGCTAGCCAAAGGATCAGCCGAAGCTACGGATGGATCCTTCGGCAGCTTTGTGAATAACCCTCTGAAAGTCTTTTGACAATAGAAATTAAAAATAAATTAAACTTGCAATGCAAATAACTCTTGTTAGTCTGTTAGCAATAAGCTTCTGTTTTCTTTATTTATTTATTCACTTATTTATTTCATATTTGATTAAAAGCTAGTGAGTCATGAACTTTTAAAGTGAATGGAATGTCTGTGGTCTAACTTGGTGGCTTTTCTCTGCACAGTTTTCAAATGTGCTTCCTCTCATTGTAAATGCATTTTGATATGTTGTGTTTAGCTAGCAGCTTTTCTAAGCATGTTCAGAACATTTAAATATTTATGGTCTAGTTCCTCTCCAGTGGTTGGCTCCTTTTTTCTTGTAACAGACTGAAAAGACATATTTGCAAGTAAAAGCCACAAGCATATGGAAACAAGATATTAAAAAAAGAAAGTATGATTCATTAATGTAAATTATTTTCTTACCACTCCTAGGATGGCATACAGAGTGATATCTATATTCACAGTGGTTACACGCCTCCAGTTTTGCACAGGCCTTATGCCCTTGTTGTATCCATCCATCAAATATTTAACAAGTTTTACAACAGTTGCATTCTTCACATGTGTCTTCTCTTCAAAGGTTTCTTTGCCTTGCATAAAGACATCATGTATTTTAGCAAATAAATAAACTACATGTAGTCTAAGGGTTTATTTATAAATGTTCTGTACAGCTGGACGGATGCCGTTCGCTCAGAACTAGAGTCCCTAGGTGATGCTGATGAACCTTTATAAATGACCCCTATGTGTAAACTACTTATGGCAAATATGGCAACAAATACAAATAGAAAAGCAAACCAGGAGAACTGTATAAAATATGCAAACACCACAAACAGGGTAATTTTAAGAGAGGTTGCATGGATTTATTTTTCTAATATCTGTTATAGCTAATAGAGTTTTTAAATAAAAAATGTCTAGGTTTAAAAAAAATTCCACATGTTCAAGTGCATTATTGCCTTGTTGCATCCATCCATCAAAAAACTAACGCATTTTATAAAAATGTCCTCCTTCAGCTTTATCTTCTGCTCAGAGATTTCTTGGTCTTGCATAAAGACATTACATATTATAGCAAATAAATACACTTTTTGCCTATTGTCTATGGTTTTAAGAACTTACCTTAAATGATGGCCCTTAATCTGATCATCTTCTTTCCAGTAGTTTTCAGGAGTCCCTCCAGCACTGGTGCCGGTCTCTGATCCATTGCTGACTGCTGTCCTCTGTGTCCCATGGTGTCTGTCCGCGTGCACACTCATGGCTGCCTGCATTGACTTACCTTGTCTCTCTCCTCTTCTCCACGCTGAAGATCTCTACTGTGCATGCGCCCACCCTATCATCCTGCACAGCCGCTCGAGAATCTTCAGATCTTCAGACGGGAGCGAGCGGCGGAGACATGGGTAAGTAATTACCTATTTGGTAACTTTTTAATTTTTTCTATGTTTTTGCATACATCTACGGCTTACTACCATGTTTCCCCGAAAGTAAGACCTACCCCAAAAATAAGACCTATCCCTATCTTCAGGGATTTCAGTAATATAAGACCTACCACCGAAAATAAGACCTAGTTCGGCGGTAGGGGGGCGCACATGTACATGCATCCAAGCAGCCAGCAAGGGGTCTGTTGGAGTGTAGCAAGATCGCAATAAACTTTCTGGCCACCGCAGCTCCTTCCCTCTCTCACCCCCTCCTGTCGGCCCGTCTGCCCGCTGTTATGTGGAGCTTGTCTCCTGTCTGCAAGATCCCAATAAACTTTCTGGCCACCGCAGCTCCTTCACTCTCTCACCCCCTCCTGTCGGCCCGTCTACCCGCCGGTCCATTAGACTGTTGTACATGAATAAATGTTGATTGTTGTAAATGAAAAACGTTTGATTGTTGTACCCGAAAAACTTTGGATTGTTGTGCATGAAAAACTTTGAAGTGTTGTACATTTTGTTGCACATTAAAAAAAATAAGACATCCCCTGAAAATAAGACCTAGTGTGTTTTTTTGGGGGAAAAAAAATATAAGACAGTGTCTTATTTTTGAGGAAACACGGTAGCAGTAGATATATGTAAAAACAAAAGTGACTTTAATACTACTTTAACAGCCTATTTTACTTCAGAAAATAGGCTGTTCACTTTGCAAGGGAACTTTCAGTTTGTAAGGAAATTTACCCCCAGCTTAGAATAATGTGGTGCAAATTCACTTGGCAAAGAATACGCAATCATGTGCAAGGAAAATTTTAAAAAACTGTATTTTTGCTTGCACATGATTGGATGATGGAAGTCAGCAGAGCTTCACCTTATTGACTTAGCGCGGGAAAAATTCCAGTGCAAACTGAAAATTCCCTTGGAAAGTGAACAGTCTATTTACCCCCACTGTGTAAACTACTTATGGCACACACGGCAACAGATAAACAAAACTGCTTAAAAATTAAAATTTTTAAAATCAATTACAAATAGTCCGTGCTAGGGTCTCAAAGTAATATAAAGGCTATGAGAGTTGTATGACTACAGGTTAATTCCAATTCACTCATATACCTAAAAAAATTATACATAAAAAAACTGTTTATAGGTGAACATAGAACCTCTTTTGAAATTACTGCACTGGATGTTGAGACAGATAGATAGATAGATAGATAGATAGATAGATAGATAGATAGATAGATAGATAGATAGATACCGTGGATAGATAGACAGAGACATTTGACAGATAAACATATAAAGAGATAGACAAAAAATGTAGACATCTCACATATTCAGACCAATATAGTTTTTACCCAGTCTGTTTTTTCCACCAAAATGTGTAATTTACATTTAAATTCACTTATATATTTAAAAGGCACTTACCCCTGCAGGTTATTAAAATACATATAGTGAATAGAATGGGATAAATCCAGTTCATTATTGCTCTTGTTCCTGCCGATCCGATCACCAGCAAAGATTAATTTAACTGTTGCAAATGTTTGAGTGCTTGATGAAATTATTGTTAGTCTTCAGTTTCCTCTGTCTATTGTGTCAGAATTAATCTCTTTACTCTCTTCTGAAAACCTCAATAACCTACTTATATATTATAACGCACGTTATAATGCTATTCTGTCCTTTAAAACCCCCTGTTTTTTTTTCTTGCCTTATTTGTGTTCATTCTCCATTCCTTTTCTCCTTTGTTAATTGTATTGTGTCTGAGGTCTTTCATTTATACACCTCAACCACAGAAATAATTTCTCTCTTTTGATAAATGTTACTCTGTAATAACTCTAGCCCCTCCCTACTTACAATCGGGACCTTTAGATTCACTTGATTGTAAGTGGTTTTCAATTAGCTGAAATGTAAATGCATCTTCTGCCCATCTGCAAATGTAAGTCATTTATGCTCTAAATGCAGTAATGGCTTGTAGTTTTCTAAGATACAAAGTAGAACAAATAGGATAAAGAAACTGTGTTATTCTGTTCTTTCACTACTTGCTAAAGTATAACTCCAGCTTAAACATGTTTTTGCTTTGAAAAGATTTAGGAAGGCTTAGGAAGTTTATAAGGTTCTTAAAGCAACACTAAACTCTAAATTCTAAAAATGCATTCAGATATCTTAACTATTAACAATGCTGAACCTTATTTATGTATCACTCAACTGTAGATCCTCGGGTCATCTCTCCATTAGTGCCGACACTGTCTTTCCTTCTGGAGGGTATCTACTTGTGTTCCCCAAGGTCCCTGGGTGTGTTGTAAAGTAGCCACGGTTTCAAGCTCACTTCCGTGATGGACTACGATCTCAATACAAATGAGTAAACTAAATGTGAGATTGTTATTTGTTAAGCTAGCATTGATGAGTGCCATTTGTGTCACTTGTTGCATGCTCACATATCCACACAAGGTGCCCTCATGGATTAGCATGCTCATGTGAATTAGCCTGCGCATGTGAATGGGGCGCACCAACCTAAGTGCAGTATTATTTTAAGTTCTTTAATTGTAATAAAAAGAAATTCAATTACATAGATAAAATAAGGTATTGCCTGTTATAATGCAAATATTAGTTATCTGGGGTTAATCTCTAGTTCTCTGCAACTGGACTCCATGTGGGAGGAGAGTGGTGTAATGTTTAGAGCAGCCAGGATCTCCTGCAGCCACTGACTCAGAAGAGTGTAGGAGTTTTGCGTTACCTCAGTCCCATTCTATCTTAACTGAGGGGGCCTCGCAAGTTACTTTTGGGTTGCCAGAGTTAGGCATTGCTAGGTAACACGTTTCCTCTAAATAACCGCTAACATGCATTGTCTAGCAATGCTTGACTCTGGCAACCCGGACGTAACTAATAAACTTTTTAAAGTACATACGAGGGATCCAGCAAAAAGAGTTGTGGAGAAAATACAATAACGTGGGCATCCAAATCATCTTAAGTAAGTTTATACATCCCACTACTGAAATAGCCAATTTACACTGTGGGGTCTATTCACTAAGCTGCCGTAGGCAGCAGAGTGAATGACCGACCTGAAGCGAAGTGAGCCGAACGCTGTTCGGCTATTCACTTCAGGCTGGTACAGCTGATTTCAACCGCTTTGGGTCGGCCGAACATGCTCAGCATGTTTGGCCGACCCGAAGTGCAGAAGGAGTTCGACTCAGCTGATCCAACATCTGGATCGGCTAAGCCGAACCTCCGGCAGGCTACTCGCTGCTGTTCGGTCTATTCTTATAGATGGCGAACAGCAGTGAGTGAATAGCCGAATGCCGGGGGACCGAGCAGAACAGAAAAATAGTTTTAAAAAAACGATTGTGCGGAGCAAGCAGTGACAGCTAGTTTCGCCCAACAACATTTTCGCCATAGGAATTTGCAATAGCCAATAGCAAACTAGCTATTGCATCCGCCCTCTGCTGCTGTCAACCACTATCAATAGCCAATAGGAATCTCGCAAGGCATTCCTATGGTGAAACTTTTTTTTTTTTTATTCTGACGCCAGCCAACGGCTCTGTGTCAGAATAAAAAGGAAAAAGCAGTGTTTCTCTCCCCCGGTAGACTCCCGGGGGGACCGGGAGAGTTTGGCTGTCTGGAGATCAGTGACCCTGGTTAGCTGGTAACCAGGGACGCTGATCTCTCTGCAAGTGGCCGGAGCCAGCCGTAACATC